AAAGATTTTTTTTTTTTTTTTTTTTAAAGAAATCTCTTATGCTCATCAAAGCTGCAAAGATAGCAAAAACACAGAAAAATATATTATGAAATATTATCTCAATTTAAAAATAATGGTTTACTATTTTAATATACTTTAAAACAATGTATTCCTGTGATGCAAAGCTGAATTTTCAGCATCATAACTCCAGTCTTCAGTGTCACATGATCCTTCAGAAATCATTCTAATATGCTGATTTATTATCAATATTGGAAACAGTTTTTGCGGCTTAATATTTTTTTGGAACCTGTGATACTTTTTTCAGGATTCTTTGATGAAAAGTAAAAAAGAACAGCATTTATTTAAAATAGAAATATTTTGTAATAATATAGCCTACACTACCGTTCAAATGTTTGGGGTCAGTAATTTTGTCCTGAAAGAAATTTAGATTTTCCAGCAAGGATGTGTTAAATTAATAAATAGTGATGGTAAATACCTAAAATGTTAGAAAATATTTATATTTTGAATAAATACTGTTCTTTTTAACTCTTTATATTTATCAAAGTATCAAAGAAAAAAAAACGTATAACAGGTCCCAAAAAATAATGTTTCCAACATTGATAATAAATCATCATATTAGAATGATTTCTGAAGGATCATGTGACACTGAAGACTAAAGTAATAATGCTGAAAATTCAGCTTTGCATCACAGGAATAAACTATATTTCACAGTATATTAAAATAGAAAACCATTATTTTAAATTGTACTAATATTTCACAATATTACTGTTTTTTTCTGTATTTTTGATCAAATAACTTCATCCCTGATGAGCAGAAGAAACATCTTTAAAAATTTTTTTTTTCAAACATTTTGAATGGCAGTGTACATATAATAATAATATAATATATTCAATTAGATGCATGTATACTTTCTGTATGAAACAAATTCACTTTTTATGAATAAATTATGACTAAATTCGTTTCTGTGTTAAAAATAGGCCTACCATATATATATATATTTTTTGATCAGCAAACAGAAAGACGTTTCACACAAACTCACACTTAACCAAATTAGCATGACCTTTAAGATGGAGACCACACACACACGCACACACACAATCATACTCAAATGCAAACTGTGTTTTCTGAATGCACATTCGAAGCATAATTAGACTCCTTATTAAAATTACAAAATTAAAAATCGAACGGAAATGAAATGATGCGTGAAGGAGTATGATTGGGTTGAGAGTCACAATGCTAATGTAGCGGGACAGGTGTGTATCAGCCTCCTACATGTGAACATCTCTCACACACAGAGGCCAAAGAGCAGAGCAGATGGCAGAGATGAAGAGTGAGAGTGAATGTGTGTGTGTGGCCAGAGCAAAAGGCAGAGGCTTCAGCATATGGTCAACTGACTGCCCACTGTGAGAACATTTACCATTGTGTGTGAGCTAATGATGGTGTCCTTCATCCTCTGTAATCTACAGTGTGTGTTTACCGGCGTGAAATAAGGTGTTGTCTTCAGTCAGGGAT